TTTGTATAATTTGCATTAGTTAGCCAACTTTTGCTGCGATGTCACTGCAAATATCAGTTGTGCTAACAATTGTCTTCTACAGTGCTCAGGTTTTATTTACTTTTCATTGTTTCCTAATAGTTTCGCGTAATCAGATATCTCGAATTTGAAAATTTATGAAATTGAAGTAGCAATATAGTTTGGATTTTTTTAAAAAAAATTAATTTGAATATCTTTTGTCTTTAAATGCGAATAAAATTCAAAAACTTATGAACTTATGAACATTTCATATACTACAATGTCAATCCTAACTAGCTGTATCTGGGAGAATTACTGTCGCGGGTCGCATGAGTTTTCATACATCATATAGCTGCTATGGAAGTGAAAAGAAGTTGATATAATTGTAATGAAATTGTTCTTAATAAGACGAATAATACACAACCGAATGTTTTCGCCATTTCTCTGCATTGTCTTTTGACCCATGCACTCTGACCCGTGAGTCACAGTTTAATCGATTAAACTTTAATCGAAGAGCTTAGGATTTGACCTTGCAAGACAGGTTGCTAGTTATCTAATCTGTTTTTAAATCTACACTTAATTAGAGCATAGCGCTTATTATAAATTTATTAATGCAGTGGTGACAATGATGTTGCCAACTATGCTAATAATTTGGTTGAGTGATAACAATGATAGCAGTGATAAATGAACAATAACACAACACAATAGCGAATAGAACAGGTAGTATGGAGAAGCGAGGCAAATGAAAGGAAAGTGGGAAATAATATTTGGCTTAAGTCCGTGTTAATATGAAGAAATATATATATGAGTGATTAAATAAATTGATTAACGAGCGCAAACTTACGTGAGTCCCACTTTTTCCACGGTCATTCCACTTGTATTTGGAGGTGATACACCCTGATGTGTTGATATTTGAAATGAAGTTCAGAAGATGAAATTTGTAATGAACTTGTTGGTCTGTAGAAGGCAAATGAAGGAGATCATCAGATGATGAAGTAATAACTGATATTTGTTGCTACAACTTTTCTGTTTATCTTCTCCCGTCCTCCGCTATCAGCTGGAATTTATTCCAGCTGATAGCGGAGGACGGGAATTTATGGTAGTTTAATCTAACGAATGACTAACTTTACTTTTGTGCTTTTTTAAATTGAAAAAAAAAATAAGGAAATTGTATGCTTTGACATATGCTGTTCTATTAAATCGTCACGTTTCAATGCAATGTGAAACTTTAACTTTCTACATGTTAAAATTGCAAAATTCAAATGTTTTGTAAAATTCAGTTTAGAAATTCATGTACATGATAATAAAAGCATTTAATTTATATTCAGGAAAAGTTAGGCCAGTGTTAAATCTCGTACTAAATCTCCTCTCCGACTGACCTAGTGACCTTTCAAGTCTAGAAATCCACTTTCAATACTCAGTGATTGAATGGATCATTTGAGATTTCCATCTTGTGTACTGTAGAAAGGAGCTGGAATTGATGTTGAAGTGCTATTCAGCAATTTCTTTGCTCACTGTTTTTAATTAAAATCCTTTCTGAAGCTATAATGAGCTTTTGAAAAGAAAAAAAAGAATGAAGGAATAGACGAGTTATCAGAACTATCAGTAATCGAATTAAAGTCGTTACAATCGCTGAATAATTCGTTTAGCGCCATATCATTGTGTAATTCAAACATAAAAGATACCGTAATTTGGCTCATTCATCTCATGATAGCTATTAATTTACTTACAAACTGTGAGTTAATTTCAAAATAATACTGGGAAACTATGAAGTGAATGCAATATAATTGTTATTATTTGATGAAAATTATGGCAATAATTATTCATTTCGGTTAAAAAAGATGGAACGGTATCATCAATTGTTTCAATTTATGTTAATTATATTTCATTTAAAACATTGCCTCAAATGAATTTCCATCAAATATAGTAAGAACTGTATGAATTGGTATAGAAGTTGACAGAAAATGTGTGTCACCTGAATGTTAACTGACTTACCAATACAAAATAACCAGCGTATCAGTATGCGTTCGACGAAAAATTACCTGTGGAAAGCATATCACAGTAAGTTGAAATGTGAAACGAAGCCTAACACTTCAAAATACATCATTTTTCAAATGGTGTCCGAAACAGCTGGTTGAAATGCAGATCACAGGAATGCTACTGATGACACGCTGATAAAACAACTGATAACACACTGATAGTGCTGCGGATTACATACTGATTAAATGCTAACAATACTTGTATACTGCTAATTACATTTGAATAGAATCATTCGGAAAGGATCAGTGACGAAAGACTAATTCGCTTTATTTATTTGACAATTAAATAAAGGGAGATAAAGTTTTCGGAACTTCCAATTTTATTTACTCAATTATTTATACAATAACACACTGCAAAACTTAATATGGCAATGTAGAAGTACTTGAAGTAAATTCTTCCAATGGTATTCACTCTTTAAACTTTTCAAGCTTAAGTAGATGCAAACTGCATGCATTACTGTAGAACGATGCAAAAGAAGCATTCAAGCTTTATTCGATCTCATAATAATTTAACCTTTTGAATCTTTCTTGTTCGATCAAAGTTACTCGTATCTTATTTGTTATCTCTCTTCATTCATCTAACTGAAAAAGAGAATTCAAACTCTGTAGAGATAAAGAAATGAATCATTGCTATTTGATGAAACGATTTTTAGTGCAAAATTGATCAGAAGATTTGTTTATCACAATTTCATACCTATTTTTCAAGTTCCTTCTCACTTCAAATCCAATCAATAAACATTAAAGCAAAACCGGTGAATGTTTCGGGAACGATTGAGAATTTATTGTCAGGTGCACAACTGCAAGTGAGACATATAAAAATACAAAAAAAAAAGAAGTCGGAATTGAATCGGAATGAAATTTTTCGGTGCACTTCACAACAAGTAGTTTTACTTGACGTTTTCACGCTATCACATTTGTTTATATTCATCTCTTCACATAGAATGTATTGAGAATTGTTTTGAATCCCTTCGAAATATTGATTTCCATCCTCGATTATTTTGTGGTACAGTAGTTTGATTCGTTTTCTGTCAGCAGTTTAAAAGTTTAAAAGAAAAAAGGAACTTCCAAAGTTGAGGATGTCATCAAATAATGAATAATGAATTTGAATCAATGCATCAAACTTTCAGAAATCAAGCATGCTACAAATTTATGCCTTTCATTTATAAGTATCACAACCATTTTTGAGATCAAAAATTCCAACTTATCCCGAAGATTTCCCTTTGAGATAAGTGGGAGAAGGGGGGGGGGGAGAATTATGCAGGAGTTTATTATAAATTTTGTTAATGAAAAGGAATTTTTTCCTCATTTTCAGTCACAAAGAAAGAGAAAAGAAAATATTTAAATTACAAATTACATGCAAGCAAGAAGTAATGGAAAGAAGTAAAAAGAATGAAGGAGTAATGAAAGAATAACAAATGTAAAGGTGCAGCTGCACTTCATGCTTGTAATCGGATATTTTGCAAACTATAAGCATGCAATGCATGCGTCTGCGTGCAGATAATCGACAGAAATTACCTTTCTTTTCTTTTTTCAACACAAAAAAAAATTGCGGAATGATTCATGCAATTTACACTCATTCAATTAATAGACCAAATTATAAACGACTAGTCAAAAAAAAGCGATGACATTGCATTTCGATAAGATGTGTAAAAATGACAGATTTAAATTACATTGTCACCTACTCCATCTGTTATTTAATAGATTTGTCCAATTTAATTAACAACTCACAAAGTTGTTTCAGCGAGTAGTTAGCATCTGTAATTTAATGATTCATTAGAAGTATTAGCTTTAATTCTTTTTTAATACTTTTGTCAAGCAAGAATGAAATACATACTTATTTCTATATTAATATCTTGGCCCTCTTAACAATAGGTATTGACGAGCAGATAGTGATGGATGGAACATTTGATAATCGATATCTTTTTGATCTAACTTATGTGTATGCACCTGATCGCAACCAAGATGACATCAGGAGACCAAAGTACTACTTGTTTCAATAAGGTAGAGTAAGCAAGCAAACAAATTGTTGAATGTAAAATCACACAAAGCATGAAGCAAATGCAATTCTAAATAAGCGTACTCAATTAAAGACAACCAAGGAATATGGAAATTTCAATTATTTAATTGGCACTTTTTCTTCTCAATTGACCGGAGAGATGCAATCTGTGATATCTATCATAAAATCTTATCAGAATGTTCGCACATGATTATATTTATTATCACAACATTTAAAAACAACAATGATATCATTGATTTCAATTTCATCGACTATCAATTTATATTTAATAAAATACATTGAATATCACATAAAGAGCAAAAATATTTGCATTTTCTACTATAATTGGAATTATTGTTTCATCAAATGCCGTTAACTGCTAACATTTAACTTATGCGAAATCAATGATTTCAGATTAGATCAGATCAGATCAGATCAATTCAAATTGAATCAAACTAAATCAGGAGGTTAGAAAAGAAATAAAGATGGAAAAAAATACCGCGATTTCCCTTCTTATACATTATTTGTATGCATGTGTGAGATAGGAAATGCGAGTAAACCCAAAACGGCCATAAATACCTTTCACATGACAAGCGAACATTTTACTTTTACTAGAAAGGGAAATAACTTTAGTCATTGGTGTCATAGACCATTAATTGATAAATTAACAGGGCCAAGTTGACAAGAGTAATCGCTTCGCTGCAGTTATTCTCATTTGTCATATCTAAATTATTGTTCGAACCTGTGCTTAAATATTGAATGTAGAAGTGCACACAAAATTACTACTAATCGATCAGATGTTGTTGAAATAAAGCTCCTTCTTCTGGCTTCTGTCATATTCCAAACTTCGGTAATAACCCATAAAGTGGACAAATTGTGGTTTTAAGAAGCGCTAAAAAGCGGTTTATTATTTTAATTGACCTTTCACCTGATAATTTTCCGAAAATATTTTCAATAACAACGTAATAACCAATGGGTCGATGTGACACTAAGAAAAATTTCACAAAAGTTATTTTATTATATTAAAAAAAAATTTGTCAGTGAGATACAATAATTCATTCAAAGATGAACTGAGGCAGAATTATGCATTATGAAACAATAAGAGGGATAAAAGAGAGGAAAGGGGCGGTAATTGTTGGATTTATTCGTTGAATTAAATTAATGTGACACTGTGATGGTTGTGATGTACCAATTTCACGCATTACATTCATTCGTATACGTTTTTATCTGTCTGTCCATCAGAAACAATTCCAGTAAAAATGTTCATTAGTTTCAGGCGACATTTTTATGACAACAATTATCAAATCAAAGGCCTGTCTATTCCTTAAGGTATTTTCCCTACTTCCTTCCTGTTAATCACATTGCATTACTTTTATTCGACATGAATTTCAACGTCCACCAACCGGAAAGTAACTTTATGCTTTTTTTTTTTTTTCAATTACGCTTTCCATATTCGGTCCAGAAATGTTGGTTAATTGGGATTGATAGTTGTTCAATGATAGAAAGTGATATCAGTTTGTTGATTGATCGAGGTCGAGTTGT